TGCGTGCACACATGCACACACATGTGCACATTCACGCACACATACATGCACATGCACACACACGGACACACACATGCACACACTCACATATACACATGCACGCACGCACACACATGCACTGCACACATACACGTACATGCACATACTCACACACACATGCACACACAAACACACACACACACACACAATCAATCAATCACCCAGAAATTTTATCTGCAGATGCCTGGCGCTACCTCACAAGTCTGGTTTTGTGGATGGATGAAGCTCAAAACTCTACTTGGCCACTTGGCTAAATCCCCCATATAAGTCTGATGTGAAGTAGCTCTGCAGTGTGTACGACTTACTACGAACGACGCCCTTTCTGCTCATTGCCCCTGAACTGAACATGGTTCCTGACAATTTCTCAGCTGCTGATGAATGATTGCCATGGAAATTGACTAGATCAATAAGTGGGGAGGAGTCAAGATGACTGACAGTTCCCCCAGTGGACAAGAAGCACTGTGATTCCATGGATGGAGAGGAGGAAGACAGGAAGAAGTTGGAGCCTGAGTGGTAAATCCATGTTAGACTGGATGACTTCTGTGGTTGCCTAACGTGCCCCAGGGCCTGGGTGTAAGCTGGAGTCAGGCTGGAGACCTGGGAGCCATGCCTTCTGTCTGAGACTGCAAGAACACCTCCTTCTGATGGAAGTGCAATGGAGAAGGGAAGGAAGAGATTGAAGAACCTTCCCAGACAGCAACATGTGGCATCCAAGAATCAGACAAGATGAGTACAAAGAGGTTTTTCTGTGGGGTCAAAAAATTGGGGGGCTTGAGAACCAAGGAGAGGCCTCCTGGGTTAGCGTCAGGAAAGGGGCCGTTCGTTCCCCAAGAGTGACCAGAGCACAGGTGACTCCTAGACACAGAATAAGGAGATGGGGGAAGATGGCTGAGGCCCTCTGAGACTGCTGGTAACCCATCTCCACCTTCTTAGGAGGAAGGCGAGAAAGGGAGAAGGGAACTGTGGATAGATGATGTACTAGGGGCTGGAGAGATGGCTCAGAGGTTAAGAGCACTGGCTGCTCTTCCAGAGGTCCTGAGTTCAATTCCCAGCAACCACATGGTGGCTCACAACCATCTGTACTGAGATCTGGTGCCCTCCTCTGGCGTGCGGGCATACATTGAGGAAGAATGTTGTATACATAATAAATAAATCTTTAAAAAAAAAAAGATGATGGACTAGCTGAGATCCCTGGCCTTGGGGACTTAGTGGGTGCTGGCCATTGGCAGGGTCACATCCCTCTTCCTGTGTCTTTGTGTCCCCTCTATGGGCATGGCTGGAGCTCCTCTCTAGACACCCCCTGCCCTCTCACATAGTCCCTCTGGCAGCAGGGCTCCTCCTTCCCACTTTCTCTTGACGCCAGCAGCTAGCCACCCAGCAGTCCACCCTGGCCCTCCACGTCCCTCAGCTCCACACCTGCTGGATGCATGCCTGTGGAACTGCCTTTTCCTCCTGGCCTCACCCCCACGCCTACTCTGGATCTGGCCTCACTGTGGTGGTGAGCTCGAACAGGCCTGGACTATGAAGTTGTTTCCAGTCACATTCCAATCTCATAAAGCTAGTCTCAGTGACAGCAGAATTCAGCTTAGGCTATTCAGAGCTACTCTGACCTGCTTTGGTACCTGGTTGCTTCTCAACCATGTTGACTTGACTATTTTTTTTAATTGAAATTTTTTTGATATAACTTTTTTTAGTCATGTTTTTTTCCTATTCCCAACTTCTATCACATTCTTCTCTGTTCTCACACTTTCCAGCAATCTTGCCTCCTGGACTTTGTTTGTGCAGGTCCCTGAACTGAGAGGAAGAGGAAGGGGAAGGGGAATAGAAGGGGAAGAGTAAGGAGAGGGAAAGGGGAGGAGGAGGGAGGAACCTCTTGCCTTCTTTCTGACCTTCGTCAGTCTCTTTGACTCTGTCTCCTCCTTAATCTCAACAAACGTCTACTCTTGGTCTCTGTTTTTCTTTCTGTTATTTCTTTGTTTTCTCCTGTAACTTCTTTCCTTTCCTCCTCTCTTTTTCCTGCCTTCTTCCCATCCTCATTTTCTTTGATAGGAATTTCCACAACTCAGGGGTGAACCCTGTCATCTGCTTGGGAGAAGCTAGCTGCGAGGACAGCAGAAGGCGGGAAGCCAGCTTTTCAGATCCGCAGCACCGTGCAGTGTTTGTCCAGGGCTGGTCCTCGGCAGAGCGCTATCTAAAGATCCTGAAAGTAAGGGATGGACTTTGTCATAGCCAGGACCTGGGAACAACCTAGATGCCCCTCGACGGAAGAATGGATAAAGAAAATGTGGTACATTTACACAGTGGAGCACTACATAGCAGGGGAAAAAATGACATTTGCGGGCAAATGGATGGAGCTAGAAAACATCATATTGAGTGAGAAAACCCAGACTCACTCATAAGTGACTTTTAGATATAAAGAAAAAAATACCTACAATTTACATTCCCAGAGAACCTAGACAACAAAGAGGACCCTAAGAAAGACATATTTAGATCTAAATCTACATGGAAAGTAGAAAAAAGACAAGATCTCCTGAGTAAATTGGGAGCATGGGGACCTTGGGGAAGGGAAGAAGGGGAGGGGAGAGGAAGGGAGTGGAGTGGAGAAAAATATCTAGCTCAATTAAAAAAATAAAAAATGAAAAAAAAAAGAGATGGACTTTGAGCACATTATTTTTGAGGAGTGGATGTTTGTTTTGCCTTGTGAGATGCAAAGATCCTGTTTGGAGTCAAGTCACACCCCGCTAGATGGGAGCCCGAATCACGGTAAGAGTCCAGCGCCATCTTGGTTCTGACAAGGACCTTCACCTCGGCCTCCCAGGGGATTCCAGCAGAATGTAGCACCCTGCAGTGAGTTACCTGTGAGACCTCTGAGCCTCACACTGAGAACCTCCCAGTAACTCAAGGAACAGGAGCGAGCATCTGCCTAGCTTCACAAAGACAGAACAAAAGTGAACCAAATGGAATGCCCATTTTTTTCCCTCTCTGCCTAATAATTTTTAATTGCAGAAATTTGAATTACTTATTCATATAAGATGTGTGACTAACTTAAAGCCCACGGGAGACAATGGCTGCTTATTTAAACTCAAGGCACTTAAACCAGACACTAGGCCCAAGCCTGTCCCCAGGACCCTTATCCCTCTCTGCCTGCCGAAGAGAAGGGTGAAACCTCTGTTCGCCTACAAATAAATCAGAGGTGGGGGAGCTCTTGTGCTATAATGAGGACATTGAGAGGCACGCTGAAATTCTGCTTTCATACTGAGGTAAAAAACCGGCTTTAAGGGTTATCCCATCTGTCTTCCCCACTCTGAAGCAATGGAAAAGAAATCACAAAAGGCCAGGAGTTAAAGCACAGTCAAGTAGTGTCCCTCTCATTGGTTCCCCTGGGGCCTCCGGTAGACCTTAGCCTCTGAGTTCCAGGTGGGGAGAACTAAGCAAGTTGCATGAATCCAACAATATTCATACCCATCACCCTGGATGCTACGAGTACTACAGACCTGGCTTACTATCAGTAACCACTTGAGTAGCCGAAAGATTGGCACTGTGGAACAGGGCGGGGCTGTCAGAGCAGCTGTGGAGGCTCTACACAGGGCACCGAATGAGGAGGAAATCTTTCAGGAGCCTCTGGTCCACTGGGGACCCCCCAAAATGTAACAAGCCTTCTACCAAGCATCCAGTGACACCAGCTCTTAGCAAAAGCTCCTCCCACTGCTGCCTCCGCCAAGAAGAAGAAATTTCAGCCTTGGGGCTGAGGAGACCGTCATTTAGATCTCCAAAACCCATGTAAGCATGAGGAGGCGGATGATCTTCTACCTATAATCCCAACAATGGGGAGCAGAGACAAGCATTCTAGCAAGCTGGCTAGCTAGACCAGCAACACAGATGTGCTAGGTTCAAGTGAGAAATCCTGCACAGTGATTGAGGGAAATAACGAAATTCAACTTCTAGCCTCCACACACATGTGAACATGAACACACACATGCACACACACCGCATACACATAAACACACACACACACACAAAACCAAACAAACACCAGTTCGGCTTTTACAGGCAACCCAGTCCCTTGCTTCCCAATGTCCGCATGTAATTGAGGGGGCTTAAGGAAGTTAGATAATTATTTTCTGTTTAATCTACACATTTGCAAGGCTGGCATCCTGACTACGTCGGTCATGTGCCTCGTTCCAGAGTTGAGGCACAGCAGCTTCAAGCACAGGACTCAGACAGAAGGTGCAGCAGAGAGCCGTCAGGATGCCCCACAGTAGTGTGTTAATGGGTGTTAAAACCAACATTGCAAATACAGCGTTCTTGATGTTTAAAATTACAACCGTGGAACAAGTCATGCTGTTCACACAAAAGAAATACCAGTTAAGCCTTCAAGTAGAGACCACACAGCCTGTACAGATCGCCACCATCCCAAAGTGCAGAACAAGTCATTTTCATTGAAACGAAGCAATAATTAGCAGGCATTTCAGTGATTCGAGGGCTATGATAAGTAGAAATAACACATTTGGATATTAAACACCAATTACTACCTGATGAGCTAGACATAAGCTCGGCGTTCAACACGCCCTCCTCGGCAGCAAACCTGGGGAATGGTGGGGAACACAGCCTCAGACCAGTGCGTCTGTATAACGAGCACGTGTCGTTTCCAAACGTCCACCTCAGATGCTGCGAGGAAAGCTCGGCCACTGTATCTGTCCCAGTGACACTGAACAGATCAAATGCCAGGAGTAAAGCTGCCCTTCAGCCACTAGCTGGACACACGTGAACGTGTGTGTGAACGACCATGAGTGAGTGTGCGTGTGTGTGCATGTGTGCGTGCACGAACGTGAGTGACTGTGTGTGCATGTGTGCATGTGTGTGCGCACGAACATGAGTGAGTGTGTGTGTGTGCGTGTGTGTGCGTGTGTGTGCATGTGTGTGCGCACGAACATGAGTGACTGTGTGTGTGCATGTGTGCATGTGAATGTGTGTGTGCACGAACATGAGTGTGTGCGTGTGAGTGTGCATGCGTGTGTGTGTGTGCATGTGTGTGTTTGTGCGTGTGTGCGTGTGTGTGTCCCGCCAAGGAAGGATTGATCACTGGTCACCTTGACAGTCTTATGGGGACACTTCATCTTTGTAGCCTTTGTTCCCAGAGACAGGACAGAGAATTCATCTGCCCTGCCCTGGTTACCAAGAGAAACTGCTGCGGTGGGGGCGTTATCTAACATGGCCAGTCAGAGGCTTTGCTTCTGAGCCAGCACCTGTGAACGTCGCAGCTCGGTGTCCAGGAGTCCCTGGCGTCACCATTCACTTTCTAGGGGAATTCACTGCAGTGACCCCATCAGTTGGGGTGCCCTCCCTCGAAGTCTCCGAAACCACTGCTTGGAGAACTCAATGCCAATGGGACCTTTTCAGTTCAGAGGTGACTAAAAGTCTTGGTGGGCAAAGAAATATTTTTTACAAGTATACATACATGTATATATATATACAAGAAATGTTTTAAAAAAAAAAAAAGACAGTCTCTAAAGCACTTTGGGATTCCCCCAAAGAAAGGCACCAGATAAAACAAGTCATTACCAAAAAGCAAAGTCAAGTTTTCCAGCTTTCGTACCCTTGTAGGTACCCACTAGAGGTATCTCTTTTTCGGTGGTAAACCCACTCGTTTAGGAAAATCCTTACGGGAGTGGCTAAGTTAGCGGGCCTCTTGCCTCATTTCTCCTTTGCCTCGGCTTCATGGTCAGTGACCATGGATATCATGTGGATACCATGGCTATCATGTGGATACCATGGATATCATGTGGATACCATGGATATCATGTGGATACCATGGATATCATGTGGATACCATGGATATCATGTGGATACCATGGCTATCATGTGGATACCATGGATATCACGTGGATACCATGGATATCACGTGGATACCATGGATATCATGTGGATACCATGCCGTGACCTTGTGCCACCAGCCTCAGCAAACGGAACTGTCCTCGCAGGCTCACGCTATCACCTGCCTTCGGTGCATCTTCCAGGACTGAAGATACTAGCCAGCAAGAGTTCCGTGTGCCAACAACCCTGTCTTCTGTCTCCTCGGCAGGGCCCTTTAGGTCATCTCACATCCTTGCTGCTTTGGAATCACACACATAGGTGTGTCTGCATGGAGGCACTAGGAGGTTGCCACCCTCTGCCCTTCATGAAACTCCAATCTGATGAAAGATTTGAACCGGAGGCTCAAGGACATTAAGTGGCCAGTGCATTCACCCAACAAATCACCCACACTGTTGTAGCCATGACAACACTAGTACACAAAGCCCTCTGAGAAGAACCACTCCATACCCCGTAAGGTGTGGATTATCCTTACCCGACTAAAACACAAAATGGACCAATTGAGAGTAGGTCCAAACTTTGGATAAAAAAGCCCATTTATCTCCTTATTTAGATCGTAGATTCTTACAGCCTTGCCAAAGACTTAACAATAACGAAAGCCACTGGAAAACCATTGGATTATGTAAAGGATGATGAGAAAGAATTATCTTAAAAGGGGGCCCAGCTTCCCCTTCATAGCATCTATGCTGACTATCTGCAGAGGAGGAACACATTGGGAAAGCAAATAGTGCTAACCCTTCAACAAAGCTTAGTGGTCGAAAGGTTTAAGCTTTTTCAAGAAATTCACAGTCATTTATATTTTATGAAGTAGTAGTTTTTGGCTTTATAACTCTTTCTTTTCTTCTGGCCTCCCCACAAGAAAATCCTGCAATTGCAATGAAAATAAGAACTCCGGCGTTTCCACCTGGGGTAAGCCACACTGTCTTCACACACATCTGTATTTTGAATACTCTTCCGCACTACCGGGCTTCCACGGCACGGCAGGAGCTCAAGGCAATCAAAATGTCTACGTACTATCCTGTGTCCTAGAAGCAGAGCTACCTAAAGAGAATTCTGCTTGGAATTAAAAGGGCTGTCCTATTATTACGAGCTTTCAGAGCAGGCAAGAAAATGTTTAAGCTACTGCCCTTGCTAGCAACCTAACGATGCTCACCTCACAACGACAAGGCAACACTAACCTCTTCTAGTTGAGAAAGACACATGACCTTATTCCTAAACATCTTTAAAAAGAAATACTTGGAAAACATGCTAATACCAAGACACAGAAAACTTTGGTCAAAATGGCCTGGATTAGTAATCTTGGCCAGAAATAAAGATCTCTATGATTCCTTCAGGAAAAATAGAGGCCTGACCATCAATGAAAAGGTTTAGCCTATATAAAGTCTGTTTATAGCATCCTAGGGTTTGGCCCATGTTTAGCTAAAGTCCCTGTCCCTAATCTATCTGTTTAGGAAAAAAACATTCAGTCTTTACTACATGTGGGCTGAATAACATTCTCTTATACTGACACTTAGGAGAGACAATCAATACACATCTTTCTAAACACTGACTGGCATATCCATGCACATCACAAGGACGGAACCGAGGAAAAAGAAGACTTGCATTACTTGCATTAGTTAAGTGTGCTTAGCTTTGCAATCTTTCTGTTTTGGTATGAAAATTAGGGGAAAGCAATGGATAAATAATTGAGATTCTGTTTTCACAAGGTTGTGATCCGAATCTCATGATAATCCTTGCTGACCCCACAGACAGATGTTTTTCCGCCGGACAGACTTGCCGGGGCTTTTTGTATAGAGTTCACACAAACAACCGCAGAAATGGGAGCACAGAAAACTCTACTCACAGGTGATACTGGGGCATCAAGACTAGAATAGTGTACACATTGGACAGAGAGATCGGCATTCTATATACTCATCTGGCAGAAAGATGAACATTTTATGCCCATAATGCAAAGACCAGTGAGTGTCACTTCATTGAAAGGTGCAAAGGCGTGGTGTTCGACACACCATCCTCTAAAAAAATGACTCTAAACATTGCAAAAGCAACCTAGGGCTCATATCCCATGCAGCTCTCCCTCTAGGGTCGGGATGACTCTTTATGTCATAACCCTACGGTGCCTAGTAGATTGTGCCAAAGGCACAAGAGGCGGATTGGCAAGGTATGTCTGGCGATCACAAATCATCCCAACTAGTGTAGAGAATCATCTAAACTCAGTTCACTGGGTGAACTCCTGCTCATGTTTGTCAGGCTTGCCATGAGGGATTTAACTTTATGGGCATAGTAGTCCCTTAAGTTGACCGAGGGGACCTCCTTCAATCCATCTCCAAAGTCACAGCTACGCATGGCACTCTCGAGTTGCTTTTGGCGCCGGTAAAAGTGGGAAAACTTATTGAAGATCAAGGTGATGGGCAATACCACCACCAGGATGCCTGCCAAGATGCAGGCAGAGGCAGTCAGCTTCCCGGCTGTGGTCCCAGGGACCACATCTCCATACCCGACGGTGGTCATACTGACGGTAGCCCACCACCAGCAAGCGGGGATGGTAGCCAGGCCCTCGTTCTCCTCTTTTTCAATGGTGTAGGCCACCACAGAGAAGATGGAAATCCCCACCGAGAGGTAGAGCAGGAGCAGCCCCACTTCCTTGTAGCTGTATTTCAGGGTGGCTCCCAAGGAGCGGAGGCCAGTGGAGTGTCTGGCCAGCTTGAGAATTCGGAAGATCCTCATCAGCCTCAGGACCTGAGCCACCCTGCCCAAGTTAGCCAAGGTAGGGGAACTCTCCACCACCAGGTTCACCACTAGAGTAATGTAGAAGGGAACAATAGACATGAGATCGATAAGGTTTAGAGCATTCTTGAAGAACTTGAGAAAGTCAGGGGCCACAGCAAACCTGGCCACCAACTCGAATGTAAACCAGGCGATGCCGAAGTGCTCCACGATTTCGAACCTGGGGTCCTCGCCAGGGTCGCCCTGGCCATCGGGGATTTGGAAGTCGGGCAGGCTATTGAGGCACATGGTGATGATCGATCCCAACACCACCAAGATGGAGAGGACGCTGAAGACCCTGCTGAGGACTGAGTAGCCTGGGTTGTCCAATGCCAGCCACAGCTGCCTGCGGAAGTTGCCCAGGGGTTGCCCATCGAACTTGGAAGCGTCGTTATAGAAAGCCAAAATCTCGTCAAAGGAGGACGTGGTGCTCTCCTGGTCGCTCTGTTCGTCCCACTTCTCCTGCTCGGGTTCCACTTTGCGGCCGTGATAGCTGTAGCTGCAGCAAGAGTCGATAAAGAACTCATTGATACCCCAGTACTCGATCTCCTGGCTGAAGGAGAAGACGCACAACTCAGCCATGACGTGAAGCTTGCCCGTGTGGTAGAAATGCAAGACGTAGGGGAAAAGCTCAGGGTTACGGTCGAAGTAGAACTCACGTTGGACGTCGTCGTAGTCATCGCAGAGTTCCAGAATTGCCTCTCGCGAGTGGCAGAGAAGCAGACGGCCCAGGCGCGTCTCAGGGAAGCGCAGCAGCGTGTGGGAACGCAGCCGTCTCTTGAAGCCGCCCACATTGATGCGGATCTCTCCATCCTCGACGTCGGCCTCGGACACGTCCCACAGGCTCTGGCGGGTCATGCTGGAGATGCCCAGGAGCCCGGTCCGCGCGGGGGCGCTACACCTGAAAGCAGAAGAAACCGCATCTGTGTGAGCGCCTGCACTCCCCACCCCAGTCTCTCTTTTTCTTTCTCCCCACCCTCCTCTGGAGGGCCCAATCCTCTCCAGCAGGGTCTCTGTGTGCGGTCTGACACTGGGGTGCGGGAATGATTTTATGGGGGTTGACCCCTTCCCAAGGCAAGGCAAGGGTGTATCTTTCTACGAGTGCAGCAGGGCCTCCACCTCCTCCCCGGAGTAGCGCCCAAAAGCTCTGAGAGCCCATGGGGGCTGCGTGCTGACCTTGCCTGTGAGCAGACCAAGGATACGCCCCCGCCCTCTCGCCGCAGACAGGCGGGACCCAAGCTGAGATGCGCACTGGCAGGGCTGGGCCAAGAAGGGGGCGCGGAGATTTGGGAGGGGGCGGAGAAATTCACCGCTCCAGTCCGTAAATCTGGGCCCAGGGGGAAAAGGGTCAACTCAGGGTCCCAGGGCTCCAGCCTCCAAAGACCGATCCCCTTCCCAGCCCCCTCTCCACCCCCAATCCCGCGCCCTACTGGCGCCGTGCCCCCAGCCGCGTGCGCTGCGCCTTCCTCGGGCTCGCCTTGCGCGTTCTGGAAGCGCTTACCTGGGTGCACAGGCGCCCGCGGCCGAGGCCGGCGGGAAACTTCCCCGATCTGCTGGCGAGCATCACCACGGTGGCCACCGCCGGCTGCCTGCGCGAGTGCGCGCGGGTGCGAGGATGTGGATGTGTGCGCCTGTGTGTGTGCCCCGCCACCGGGCAGGCGGGGTCCGCCGTGCGTCTCCTTTCAGTCTCGGGCCCCACACACCGGCGCCTGCAGCCGCGAAAGGCTCACAGGTGGCTGCGTGGCCCCGACGCTCGTGGATCCCCCTCTTCCGATTCGCGCGCCCCTCATCCGCCAAGAGAGGCAGGAGCCCACGCCGCAGGCGCCCGCGGAGCGGGGGTGGGAACCGAGCCCGTGCGCCTTGCGGTGGGCCCAGAGCCCCGAGCCGCGCGGTGGTGCTGAACGGACAGCTCCGTGCGCTTCAAGCTTAAGGCTCAGCCGCCGCCCCAGACTCCGAAGATGTTCCGGGGCGTCATTCTGTTCCCTGGGCGCCCCCCAGCTCTGCACGGAGCTGACACCTTTCCTCCCTCCCTCCGCATCCTCCGGGGACAGCTGTTATTGCCAGCACCCCAGGGCTCAGGCAGAAGGTTGCCTACGGTGACTTTCTCTCTCGCTGGATCTGTAGGAGACAGGCTAGGAAATGAGGGATGACTTGGGTATGTAGGGCAGATGGGGCAGCAACAGAAGGATCTACGGGGCTTCCTCTTTTAGAGACCTGAAGAAAAGTTTCCCACACCTGAAAATGGGGTTATTGTAAAATAGGTGTTGTCGGAGAAGACGAGTTGAGCCGTGGCAGGGCTGTGAGTGGAACAAGAGGCTGGGGAGGTGTGCACAGGTCCTGTTGGCTTGGGAAGCAGTCAAGGAGTTCGGTTTGAGAATTCTGTGTGAGTACCGTGTATGCACAGGCCAGTGTGGTTGTGTGGACTCAAGGTGGGTGCTTGCAGTTCTGTGCACGTGTGTGATTGAGAACAGTAGGAATTTCCAATGTCTGTGAATAACATTGACCTAAGTCTTCTGATGGATGGCAAGACGCATGCAGCGTGCTGTGTTTGGATACGTATGCATCAGTGTGACGTGTGCTTGTGATGTGGGACTGTGTGCTGTGTAAACGGTGTGACCTCGGCACCGGTATGCTCATTCACAAGACTTAGGGTCCTCCTACTGACCCAAACCAGAAAACAGACCCTTATTCCTGGGTCTCCCTTTGGACTGGGCCTGTGGTGTGGTCCTTGTTTTCAGATTGCTGGGTTCATCCTTAGCATGGAGCTAACGTCTACATGTCTTTGTCAAAGTCCTAGGATAGTTCTCACAGGGTGGCTCCAGATTCACAAGAAAAACAATAGCCACAGTGACAAACATTCTCCTTGTGTGACTCTGAGGATCCCATCTTAATGGAAAACTGTTCTGACTCTAGGCTACATAACAGCCTGGGGCTGGAGCTCTGGGCTAGTGTTTGCTGGGCATCTGTGAAGTCTGGATGTTGATCCCCAAAGCCTGCTTTGGGCTTCCTCAGGGTGTATGGAGAGACTGGTTGGTCTGGTTTTGTGTGGGATCCCTGGATCCAAGTGTGGCTCATACTTGTGTCAACTACTCACCTTTGAGCATGTGTGATATGTGTGCACAGGCAAGTGTGTCCTCACTGAGAGGACTCTACATGCATGGCCCTGAAGTCTCTGGGTGTGGGGCTTCCAACAAAAGCAATCATGAGGGGGAGGAATAGTGTGGTGTGGGCCACATGAGCTTCCTTTCTTTTGTTTGGTGTTAGAGGGTAGTGGTGGTGATAGTGATGGTGATGGTGCTGGTGGTGGTGGTGGTGGGGGATGGTGATGGTGCTGGTGGTGGGGGTGGGGGTGGTGGTGGTGGTGATGATGGTGGGGGGGGTGGTGATGGTGGTGGTGGTGGTGATGATGGTGGTGGTGATGATGGTGGGGGGGTGGTGGTGATGGTGGTGGTGGTGGTGATGGTGGTGGTGATGATGGTGGTGGTGATGGTGGTGGTGGTGATGGTGGTGGTGGTGATGATGGTGGTAGTGATGATGGTGGTGGTGGTGATGGTGGTGGTGGTGATGGTGGTGGTGGTGATGATGGTGGTGGTGGTGATGGTGGTGGTGATGATGGTGATGGTGGTGGTGGTGGTGATGATGGTGGTGGTGGTGATGATGGTGGTGGTGATGGTGGTGGTGGTGGTGGTGGTGATGGTGGTGGTGGTGATGATGGTGGTGGTGGTGGTGGTGGTGGTGGTGATGGTGGTGGTGGTGGTGATGGTGATGGTGGTGGTGATGGTGGTGGTGGTGATGGTGGTGGTGATGGTGGTGGTGGTGGTGATGGTGGTGGTGGTGATGGTGGTGGTGATGGTGGTGGTGGTGGTGGTGATGGTGGTGGTGATGGTGGTGGTGATGATGGTGATGGTGGTGGTGGTGGTGATGGTGGTGGTAGTGGTGATGGTGGTGGTGATGGTGGTGGTGGTGGTGATGGTGGTGGTGATGATGGTGGTGGTGATGGTGGTGGTGATGGTGGTGGTGGTGATGATGGTGGTGGTGGTGGTGATGGTGGTGATGGTGGTGATGGTGATTGTGGTGGTGATGGTGGTGGTGGTGACGGTGGTGGCGATGGTGGAGGTGGTGGTGGCGATGGTGGAGGTGGTGGTGAGTGAGTGGTGTGGTGAGTGTGAGTGTGTGTGTGTGTGTGTGTGTGTGTGTGTGTAGGGAGTAATCTGCCAATTGATGCCTGTCTCTGTGTCCATTTATTTGTGGTTACTAATTTTTCTTAAATGTCTCAGTTAATACACGAAATACTTATGACGTTCTCATGCATTTACCATTTACTTTGCTCACGTCACTCTCTACCTTCTCCCTGCCTTGCTGTCTCCTTTCCTGACCCAGGGTCCCCCTCTTTTTTACTTTTTGAGACAGGGTCTCTCTGTATATCTCTGGCTGTCTTGGTACTCATTATGTAAACCAGACTGTCCTTGAACTCACGGAGTCTGCCTACCTCTGCCTCCTGAGGGCTGGGATCGGTACGTGCCACCACACCTGGCTCCAACCATCTCTTTCCATGGGGGTCTGTTTGGCATGGTCTCACCTTATCCTTTGTATAGTCTGACTGGCTCTATCATTTGAAGTCCAGCTGGGCCGCAGTTTGGGGACTCCTAGGTCTCCTTCACCCCCATGGTGTGCTGCGGAGATGGTGCCAGACTTCGCAGGGCGGGGGCAGGGACTCTGGTGAATGTGTGATCTCTGGCTTGCTGACTCTCACTTTCTCAGTCCTTCCCACACCTTGGAGCACGGCTGTGAGGCCTCCACACTGCAGGCTCCCTGGAGCAGCATCTGGAGACAACCACTCTCTCTAACCTGCACCTTCTTCCTCTCAGTTGACTTCTGGCAACCCTAACTCTCACGGCCACCTTTTGCTACATACATCTGTGTGGTGCTGTTGCGTCACTATCCCCAGACACTCCCATTCCTTCAGCCTGGACTCCCAGCTCCTCGGTGCCTTTGCTCCTCGTGTTCTCTGTTTGTTAATCTTTTTTTCCTGCTGTACTTTGGCAGGGGGGGGGGGTCTATCCTCCTAGGAATAGGACATGAGTTTGAAGACTCTGGGGTTTTCTTTCTCTGCTTCTTTGTCTCACTCATTCCTTCTTCCTTTCTGATTTTAGGAGTCTGTTTATGGAGAAAGAAATTCTTCACTTATGTTTCTTTGTCCCTCCCTGGGATACACCCCTCCCCTACACCCTTCCCACAGACTACTGGGGCCCTCAGACTTCCTATTTCCCTATCAAGGACACTCCCTGCCACCCTCAGCTCTGCCGGTCCACCCCCACTTTAGACGCCCACCACCATCTTCTAATGTTTGCTTGTTTTCTCCACGTTCATCTCCTGACCCTTATTCTCCTCCATACCCCAGACTGCATTGGAGCCTCTGGTCTGTACCTGCCCTTGGTTAGGTTTTCCTTTGAGGCCAGGGTCAAGGACAAAACCCACACCCACCTTTCCCTGAGTTATCAAAGTGAATTTGGAGCCCACGGCGAGAAGCTACATATCAGCTATTTCTTGGAAAGGCCAAGCAGAAGCTCCTGGACCTGGCAGATGCCTCTGCAGAGAGTTAAGTGTATGTGACAGGCAGAACCACTTGTTTATTTCCCAGTCAATGCACTGAAGAGAAATAGAGCCATCTCCCTCCTTCTGTGGCAGGGAAGCTGGTTTTGTTTATGGTTTATTTAGAGGTCTGAGCCCTGATCTTAAAATATAGCTGCCTGCTTCCCTGGTGGTGTGTGTCTGGCTTGCCTGGGGAGATAGTGAGGGAGTGGAGGAGTGGGGAAAGGCATTCTGGGAAGGGAGCTGAGGGGATCCTGGGTGGTGACCCAGATCCTTGCACCTGGGTGACTGTCTCTCTGCTTCCCCTGCCAATACAGATCTCAGCGGAGCCCACACAGCACAGACTCAGCTTTCCCCTGACAGGCGAGGGGGCTGCTTCAGCGGCCTGTTGGGTGAGCTGGCTGCCTGACCTACATTCCCCACTCTGCAGAAAAGCCAAGCCCCATCCTTCCCTTGGGCTCTGGTCCCTGGCCCTGACGGAGTGGACAAGTCTCACTCAGACCTGTCCTGCTGGCCACCAGCTTGCCTCCCACTGCAGCCCAAGTGTCCCTTACAAACACAAGAGAGCCATGTCTTGCCTCCTAAAAATCTTCCAGGGGCTTCCTAATACACTGACAAGGGAAATCACTTGGCAGTCACTGTTCCAAGGCTCTCCATGATGCATCTCTGGCCACCTCTTAACCTTCATCTCTTTGCTGTCCTTTGTTCCCTGGCCATATGTCCCCTTTGTCCCTGTGGCCTTTGTACCTGCGATCATGACAGCTTCACATGACAGACTTTTTTTTCCTCTTGTCATTCAGGGCCTGTTTAAATGCCAGCTCCTCAGAGGCTTGGCTTCCCAGACAACTTCTGTGAGCCCCCAGCCTGCTTCTGTCTGTGTCTTAGCCATGCATATATTAAACAGCTGTTGAATACCAATTAAGGGTGAGTGAACAGGGCTCTGGTTGCCACATGAGGTTGCTCCATGACAAAATCTTCACTTCACCTCCTCTTGAAGGATAAGGAGAGATGCTGAGGCCAGAGAAAGAGCCAAGCTATGGAGGTCTGTCTGCAACTGACTGCATCTGGCAATCCAGTGGCTCCCATGATGCCTTGGGCATTGAAGCAGACCAATTGACCCAGAATCCCTAGCTTTTTCAGAAAGCTCCCAATGGAGCCCCGATTGCTAGCGTTAGTGAAGGTGTCCCCAGAGCTGTGTACCATGAGCCCGCACCCCGAGGTCAGCTCCGGGAGCAGTGCCTGCCTCTGACACAAGCTCCATGGCTTTGTACCGTCCTTCCAGTCCACCCTCACTTGCTGAAGGGCTCCTTATGCCTGCTGGTCTCAGAATTCCTAACCTTACAGAGAGTTCATTTGCAATTAAAAGTAATCATATTTTGTTTTTCTCCATAGACAAAGGCCGGCTCCTTAGGCCGTTATAACGC